ACACAAACAGAAATCCCCAGGATATCTCTCAGAACAGCCTCAGCATGTTTGTTTTTCCCTGAATGTGTATCTGTGTCTACCTCTCTGTCTTTCTATAGGTATTTTATTTATGACACCATAAAAATGATAAATGTACTTATTATTGTACTTTAATAAGTCTCATTCAACTTCGTATACTCTGAGCATATGGACATAAAAGCTTTTTACGTGATTGTTTTGTTGTAGTCTCCAGAGTTAAATGTCAATTGAATTGTCATATTTTTGGACCCAGAGTGTAATCTTTTTTGTGCACATATATGACAGCTTTTAACCGACCGGTAGTGATCAACAACAGCTTCAGTAACAAAAAGAGAAAAGCAATGTGTTCCTCGTTATGGTTAAAAAAAAAAAGAGACATTTATAGAATTATGTTGTCTCATTTTGAACCTCAGCTCCTGCAAATTCCTTCCATTCCTCATATGATTTGACTCAGTACATTTAGGCAGGATATGAGATGAATACATCCATGTTTGTGTTATCTTTATCACCATCTTGAATGTATAGGAGCCAAGAGGGACAATAGAGTGAGATCCAACTGTGAACAGATGGATTCTCGCATATAAAATATTCCTATCTTGTGGATTTACATATAAGAAGCAAATAATTAGTTTTGACTGAGTTTTGAAGTTGCCCTTATGTTGCTTTATCAGTATTGGCTGTTGGCAACATGATAATTCATTATTGTCTCATTCAGAAATACACCTCTGTAGTAATGATCATTACATCTCAAAATAGGAATATTTGTTTGACCAAATTCAGCAAGTTAAACTGAAGTTGTTGTGTGTGTGTGTTTGAAACGTTATGGTGTGTGTGTGTGTGTGTGTGTGTGTGTGTGTGTGTGTGTGTGTGTGTGTGTGTGTGTGTGTGTGTGTGTGTGTGTGTGTGTGTGTGTGTGTGTGTGTGTGTGTGTGTGTGTGTGTGTGTGTGTGTGTGTGTGTGTGTGTGTGTTTTAGGCGTGTAAGTGCCGGCTGAGGGGCCCCTTAGGTGAGAGTAGGGGGTCTGAAGTGGCGTCCCGCCATTAACATAGACAGAGGTGTGTGTGAGAGATAACTGCAGGCTCTCACACAGTCTGACACCTCACACACACACACACACACACACACACACACACACACACACATATACACACCTGCTATATTCTCAGCCTCCTGTCTGTGTTTTCCAAACCTCTCACACACACTCTCTTTATGTCCTCAAGGCCCTTAAACATACACACACACTCCGTGAACCCATCATACACACTTCACATCCACTCACATGCCACCATGTTGACTCACTTGCCATGGTGGATGGATGAAAGTGAGGGAATGACACACACACACATACACACACACGCACACGCACACACACAAACAGATGTCACATTTGGTGTGTGTGTGTGTGTGTGTGTTGTGGCCTTGCTCAGGGTTGGTGTCAGTCTTACTGGAATCAAGATGACTGGCTTTACGTGATGACTGATATTTAGTTGCTGTGTGTGGTTCTGTGTGTGTGGTTCTGTGTGTGTGTGTGTGTGTGTGTGTGTGTGTGTGTGTGTGTGTGTGTGTGTGTGTGTGTGTGATGACTTCATCCCAAGTCCTATCAGCTGTCCACAGTGTGTGTACAGTTTGTAATATCAGCCGCTGTTACCGTAACATTTGGATGTTCAGTTATGCACACTTTTCTATTTGATAAACATTGATTGATTTTACTGTAATGTTTATATAAGCAGCTCCATTTCATTTTGTTATCGCATTACACGACTTTACCGTAAAGCTTAAATCAGATGCCTGTTACAGATTGTAACTACTTTATCATTGATTGCTAGTACAACAGTGTTGGGACAAGCAGCTCCTCAGTTTGTTCCTTGGCATTTCTTTATTGGAATGCATTACAAAGTAAACAGATGTCATGCTCCTTTCTCGTTCCTGATACTGTGATGTTTTGATAAGCAGATTTTCCATTTGATATTACATGTGCTGTAACTGAAAACTGAATTTACTGACACCAGTTGCTTTTACTGTATGCAGGTATTATAACTTCCATTGCATGTTGTCATTGGCTGATGGATCAACAATACTTAATTTGTTGTTTGAAACATTTATAATGTCATTAAAATAGATTTTTACCGTAATGCTTGGAGAAGCAGTGAATTATTGGAAAACATTTAGCCGGGCATAACCCCTTGAGATCTCAACATTATTACAATATGAGTATAGTTAGACAAACATTTACCAAAAACAAAAATAGTATCAACAAGAAACAGTGTGAATGTTTGATTGCAAAAAATGGTAACACTGTAATGTTTGGATTAGCAGTTCAGTGATGTTGAATGTTTTATTGCATTCAGAAATATTGATGATGTGTAATTGCTGGGAGTTGGAATATTTGATTGCATTTGAATGGATTGTTGTTACCGTAATGTTTGGATGAGCAGTGCAGTAACTTTTTATGTTTTATAGCATTCAACATTTTTTAATCTTGTCTATTTTATAATGTTAATAATATTGAGAAAATGAATGCTTTGAGTTGGACTGTTATTATAATTAAAACGTTGGTTGCTGCCGTAAAGTTTGGATAAGCAGCGCAGTGAGTTTGAATGTTTTATTGAATTAAAATCACATTTTGGTACCTTTTGGATTTTAAGACTAGTGATTGTTGGGTTTTCGGCTGTGCTTTTACCACAGTCATTCCCAGCTACTGTATGGTAATAAATAATATTTTGCATGTTCCTGTCAAATCTGCACCTGCTGTGTAATTTTGCAGCCTGATTGCTTTTGCAATGAAACAAGCTCGGAACATGTTGTTTTTCTCGAGGTTGCTGGTCTCATAATGAAATCCTTTTAGTTAGTTAGTTGGAGATTTAAATGGCATGAAATTGACTGTTAAATGCTTTAAAGGTCAACTCCTGAGCACCGTGATGACAGATTAATACTGAGCGCTGCTTTTGTGTTGTACGATATTAAGAAGGCTTTTGTTCTTGGCTATAAGATAAGGTGTAACTTCAAGGACATCAGCCGCTCTCTATACATAGCGTGCAAATACACAGCATTTGATATATGTCTGCTTACAAAGTGATTCAAGCCAAAGTAGAAAATGTGTATTTATGGTTGAATAATGGAAGTTGTAATGCATTAATGAAAATGCAGAGTATTAGCTGCTATGTTTTACATTTTTTATTTAACCTTTATTTAACCAGATAAAAAAGCATTGAGATAAAATCCCATTTTCAATGCTGACCTGGCCAAGATACGGTATTAAAGTAGCAACAACAAACAGTGGAAATAAATGACTTCCCTATTTATAGATATAATTATTACATTCTTTGCTGTTATCACACTGCTTGCTAAGTGCGTTTTCTATAACAATTTTCTGAAAAACAACTGCAGACATTCAGGTGATTATTATGTTTTCCCAACAATAAAATGCCAATGAGCCCGAGGAATCTGTGTGCATTTTTATATTTTTTTATTTATTTAAATATGAGATAAAATATCAGGTGGGCAGCATCGGCAATTACACGGCTGCAGTCATTAAAAAAGAACATTTTAAATAAAAACATTGAAGAAAATTAGAGAATAAAAAAAAATACATTCTCTAACATTTAACACATTTACAGATATGCCTGCTTCCGTTTAATTTAAAATCGTTTAATAGTTTTAAAAAGACCTTCAATTTAATATAAATGAAATAAAATGAAAGAAGATGTTTATTGTCCTTCTTCCTGGTTAAAGTACAGACTTTAGTGACATTTAGTAGAAAAAGCCTTGGAAGGGAATGCAATAACTTACCGTACTTAAAGTCATATCATGTAATGTAGTATTTGTTTCACACACATTGATGTTGATGACAATTAAATGTATGGTTAGTGGCCTATTTCATTTCTTTTTTCCTCCGTTAATCATTCCATAGAGCTGCAGGTTATTTTTGCATTGCATTGACTTGAAATGTCATTATTCCTGTATCATTTGTCTTAGCAAATAGGAAATTCATACTGTATGCAAATATTGTAAAACTAATACAACAATGATATTATCTTATTATTTAACTAACCATTCACGGTACATTTATAAAAAAAATAGACACTATGGTAATAATAATGTGCAGTAACTGCGAGTATCTACCTGTTATTCAGGCCTTGGATTTATTTAAAATATGTTTTAGTGTAAAAGTAAAAAGTGGATGTAACTGATTTCCACACAGCTGTGTTATGTAAACGTTATATAACTGAATAAATTACCATCTCTCACTTAATGTTGTGCAGTAATAAAGGATAATAGCGGGGGCGAAGAAGTGGGCTTGTGACCGCAGGGTTGCCGGTTTGACTCCCCAGATAGCGTCTGCATGGTGGCAACCTTTTCTGTGACTCAGCTTGAAAATCCTCAGTGACTGAGCATATATATTTGTCTGTGAGTCAGAGGTTTGGCCATGCTGCTGTTTCCGATAATGTCGTCCTCTAATCCGTGCATCATCCCTCCTACACTCACTCCAAGACTGTAGTTTGACGTTTTAACACTTCAAGTTGGGAAGTTAACATCTGTCACTTTTTAATGATTGATTCACTCTTCCTCTTTCTTAAATTCCATACAGTTTCAGTCAAATCTACACATCAAATTGTTACGGTCAATTCCAATAAACCTCTTAAAGATGTTGTCAAATCATTTATTCATTTATAAAGCCAAATATCACAAATCAGTGGCTTTTCTTTAATATCTAAAATGTAATGGATAATGTAGTGTTTTTACTTTAACAGTTGATCTTTTTTGATTTTGTGGGAAAAAGTGTTACAGTACAGGAATATTATTATAAGTTATAGACAGAGCAACATTTGCAATTTTCTAATCCTTAAAACACATCCTCAAAAACGAATTGGAACAACAACAAAATCCAGAAAATAAGTACATATAATTATTTTGATGACCTTCTTTAAGATTCTGGTCATGCTGTATATAATGTGTTTGTGTGTGTTTGTGTGTGTGTTTCAGGAAGTGCCCGGATGGTTTTGACTGTCTGAAGGCAGGCAGGAATCCAAACTACGGCTACACCAGCTTCGACAGCTTCGGCTGGGCCTTCCTGTCTCTGTTCCGCCTCATGACGCAGGACTACTGGGAGAACCTCTACCACCAGGTAAAGTCTACACCTTTAGTCATTTATAACACACCTACGGTACACACCTTTACAACACATTACATTTAGCTGACGCTTTTATCCAAAGCGACTTACAATAAGTGCATTCGACCAAGAAGATACAAACTTGAAGAAAACAGAATCATATAAGTACATTAGGTTAGAGCCAAACCATTTTAAGTGCTACTCAACTGGTTTTAGATAAGCCAGTCCTTTGTTAGTATATAAGTGCATAGTTAGTATATAAGTGCTTTTTATTTATTTTTTCATTTTATTGCTCGAAGTGGAGTCGAAAGAGATGAGTTTTCAGTCTGCGCCGGAAAATGTGTAAGCTTTCTGCTGTCCTGATGTCAATGGGGAGCTCATTCCACCATTTTGGAGCCAGGATAGCAAACCGACGTGTTTTTGCTGATGGGAACTTGGGTCCCCCTCGCAGTGAGGGTGCAGCGAGCCGCTTGGCTGATGCAGAGCGGAGTGCACGTGCTGGGGTGTATGGTTTAACCATGTCCTGGATGTAGGAAGGGCCAGAACCATTCACAGCATGGTACGCATGGTGAGATCAAGGACATGGATGGAGACAGTGAGAAAGCAAAGGCAGTTAAAATAAATATTAATTCAGATATCTTCTCTGTCTGGAGGTTGAAGTCTCCGAGAAGTACAGTGGGAGGCCCAGTTTCAGGGATGTGTGAGAGGAGATGATGTAATTCCTCCAAGAAGTCCCCCAAGGCGCCTGGTGGACGGTAGAGAACAACAATGGTTCATTGTATAGGATGGGTTACAGTAACAGCATGGAATTCAAAGGAGGAAGGAGTGAAGTTAGGTAGTTGGTAGAGGGAAAAGCTCCATTTGGGAGAGAGCAGGAGACCAGTGCCACCTCCTCTGCCAGTGGGTCTGGGTGTATGGGTGAAGGATGTGGAGGGAGCTGCTGGGTTGGATGTGTTGGATGGAGTAATCCAGGTCTCAGTGAGAGCAAGGAAATCCGGAGACTGCAGGGAAGCGTAGCCAGAAATGAAGTCAGCCTTAGGAACAGCTGACTGGCAGTTCCACAGGCCACCTGTAACTAGATGTTGGATCTCAGTGGAGCATGTGGGATAGACGAGAGCAGGCTGGTTACAACGATTAGGAGATGCACGGGGCCAGTAATATTTGCGAGAGGACACATGAACAGGAATGGAGAGTATACACATGTCTTAGCAAGAGGGGACAAAAAACACATCTACTGTACACACCTTCACACCTATACACCTTGATACCTTTATACACCCACCTTAACATTCGAAACTTAAACTCCAAAACGTTATCAGCTCTTCTCTTTTCTCATCTGGATTGTTACAGCTGGACACTAACAGGATTCAGTTTTTTCCCTCTAGTTTTCAGTGACTAAAGTAACTGTGAGATAGGAATTTCACTCCTGCATTTTTGTCCGGTTTCTTTGTGTTTGTGCAGACACTGCGTTCTGCAGGTAAGACCTACATGGTGTTCTTTGTGGTGGTGATCTTCCTGGGCTCCTTCTACCTGGTGAACCTGATCCTGGCCGTAGTGGCGATGGCGTACGAAGAGCAGAACCAGGCCACCATCGCTGAGGCCTGCCAGAAGGAGCGCGAGTTTCAGGTTGCCATGGAGAGGCTGAAGAAGGAGCAGCAGGTGATTACACCTCCATCAAGGCTGCTGACAGGGATTTACATTTGTAATAGAATGGTGTAGTTGTAAATTCCTCTTTCAGTTACTTTTATTTCGTATTACTTTGAAAGACACATGGCAATTTCTTTCCTTAGGGTGCTGCGCAGAAGCTTCTGGACTCGGACTCGATGATGTCACCGGATCTGTCCCCGTTCGTCCTCCCATTGGACGGATCGGAGGAGAGGAGGCGGAGCCAGGCGCTGGTGGGCGTGGGCGACGTGGAGGCCAACCTATCAGAGGAGAAGCTGCTGCAGGTGGACTTGATGGAGGGGGGGAAGGTAAGTGCTGAGAAATCTGTGTTAATATAAAATAATAAATATAGAAAAAAGATATTCAAACAATAGTGTCATTATAAAACAATGTAATTATACCAAAAAGTGACAGTATTAGTTAATAGATTTAAATATACTGTATTCTCCTGCAGCCCCTCCACCCCCTCCTGGGCCGCTCCTTCTCCTCCAGGACGCGGAGGAGCAGTCAGGTGTCCTCCATCTTCAACTTCCGCCTGCGGAGTCGGGGGTCGGAAGGGGAGATGGCTGACGATGAGTACAGCGTGCCGGGGGACGTGACGGAGGGCGTGGGGGGGCGCACCTACAGCGGGGGCACCTTCAGTGGCATCCTGCCCCACCCCTGGCCCAAACGCAGGCCGAGCACCTACAGCAACGCCAGCAGGAACTCCCAGGTAAGAATATGCAAAATAAAAAATTGGTACATCAACTAAACTTTGTTCTGTTTTTCTGTATTATTTATTCGATTATTAAATAGGGACACACGTTATTTTATTTGTATTAAGTGTTTTTGTTTATTTACCAGGGACACTGCACAAAAAACATGGTGAATTGCCTTGATATATCTTTTTTTATTTGTTTATTTAACAGTGGCTCCTAATTTTGGACCCTGATTCCAAAGCATTGTGGTGTTCATAAAAGGCCTCCAGACATGTTAATATTTCTCTTTATGTGTGGGTTTTCAGGTATTTTATCCAACTTTAAACGTCAACGGGAAGCTGTTTGTGGCCATGGACCAGAACGGGGTTTCCCCCCCACCTCTGCAAGGGCAGCTGCCCGCCTGCACCATGGAGAAGGTCAAGGAGGAGAGTGTGAGTACAGTGTGCGTGTGTGCGTGTGTGCGTGTGTGTGTGTGCGTGTGTGTGTCGCAGTGGAAACAATGGTGCAGACTGCAGCCATTCAACACTCAGACATGTGAATTATGAATCAGTGCTTTGCATAACTCCCCTCTGATATCATGGGCTAAAGACACACACACATACAACACATACACACAAACACACAAACACACACACAGTCATATCTGCCTTCTCAGATAACACACTGTGGTATTCCCCCCATCTATGCACACACACACACACACACACACACACACACACACACACACACACACACACACACACACACACACACACACACACACACACACACTATCCAAGCACCCACAGTGTCAGTGCTATGGCATCATGGACTACGGCCACACATACCAGCCTTTGCCCACACACACACATACACCAACACACCTGTTAAAAGTAAAATAATTCCTGTTTAAATGTAATGGAGTATAAAATTGTTTAAAATTAGAGTACATTAATGTTGTACAAATGATTATAATACTTGAGTAAATGTACTTAGTTACATTCTAATACTACTTACTGATACTGAAAAAACACTGAAAAGACAAAACAGAGTAACAATTGGGTTTCTTGACGGTTGCGTGAAAGTACAATTTTCAGTAACAAAAGCTGTCAGTCAAAACGCAATCATTTTCTCTCTAAGATTTATTTTTGTAGAAGAATAAACACAAATAAAATGTGTATATATGTAAAATAATTCAATAGGTTTGTCCAGTTTCAGGCTGAAGGTACATGTTGCTCATACACACTTCAGGCTCTAACGCTGCAATTCATTTTATATTTTCTCAGTATTCTGTTGCAAGGCTGTTAACATCCAGGAACTCAGCTGTGTGCCTGGAAACACACACAGACACACGGAGAAAAAAAACACACACACACATCCTGTGTTATGTCTTTTCAGAAACAAGCAGCGGAGATGATAATCAGATCACACTGACACTGCATGACTCAGTGACCAAACACAGAGAGAGAGAGGGAGAGTGTGTGTGCATGTGTGTGTGTGCGCGCGCTTGAGTGTTTTGTCTTAGGGTTTATGGAGTTTCACAGGAACACGCATTGGGTCTCTGTACCCTCACCTTAACACCAGCATTTAAGGTTTTTGAGGACATATTTTTTGCGATTCCCAACAACAAAAAGAACACTGTAAAATATAAATTATACATTTGTGTTCAATATAATTCTAGGGATGTCAGTGGGTTTCCTTCTGTACATAACCTTCCATCTATTTTATTGTGCAGACATATTTAGGGCAAACAAGAATATGTTGATGTTAATACTTTAGCAAGATTCTGAATGCATTTTCCTTCAGTGTATTTCTACACTGCTGACTGCATTGTCCCCAAAGCCAAAAGGACATTTTTATCAAACATTTATCACACTATTGTTCTGTATTATTATTATTATTTTTGTATTAAAGTAAATAACACTATTAATAGTTTCATCAATAATAATATCCGATGTTGTATTTATTTAAAAAAAAATTATTTTATATATTTTATTGATATTTGTCATACATTTCATGTTTCAAATGTTTTTCAGGATATTTTTCTGACATTTTCCAAATAATCTTTAATATATTTGCATTTTATTTGCATATGTTTAAATCTTTAATTTGTACATTATTTATTTAATTTAAAATGTACATTTTCCTAGCCATTACTTATACGTGACTTGTTCTCTGTTGCGTTATAGACAGTATCACTTGAAACATCTTTCAGACTGTAAATATATTTTCTTTTAAGTTTAATCTCTCACTTTACAGAAGAACTTTATAAACCTGCAGCAGAAAGCAGACATCCCCACGTCTTCAGGGATTACATTTATTTAAAACTTGTCTTCAGTCTTTTCCCCGTCAGGCAGTAGGTCAGAGGATCAGGAGCACAAACACGCCTCCACTTGCCCCAGAAACTACACTCTTATATAACCAGAAGAAGACAAAGGAGATTAAATCATAGTAGAAGAATAACACACTGAAAATACTTCGCTACAAGTACAGGAGCCTATCTTAAGTAGCTCCTATATATACTGTTGGCTACTTTATTCTATAGCAAAAGCTGTAATCTATAAGATCATCATTTGTTCGTAAGAATCACATCTCTCTAGAAAGTCAACCTTTTAGAGTTTTTCAGAAAAACAGGCCCGTTTTTAGCTTTGTGGAGATGCTTTTTCCAGATGATCAAAGAAGCTTTTTAAAGACTTATATTGAGCTTCCAGAGAAACATTAAAACCTTCATCCTGCTGCTTAGACTGATGGAGAGGAGAGGGTGAGGAAATGTTACCACGACAACGCACAGTCGCTAAGGAAGCTAAATCAGTGCATGCTGCTTTGAGAGTGTGTGTGTGTGTGTGTTTGTGAGTGTGTGTGTGTGCTTCCCTGCGGACAGGATGTAGGTGTTATGGTGGGTGGCCACCTTCAGGCCCATGCGTCACGTCTCGTTGGAGGACCCCCCCCACAAAGAACCCCTCCACACACACACAGACTTAAATTAGCATTTTTGCTAACTTTTTACAGAGTGTAATTTATACTCATATTTATTAACTTTCTTTAGCCCTACCAAAAAACAACTTAATAACCTCTGCAAGGACAGTATGTCCACGATTACAGAAAAATACCAGCCCCATTTTTATGAAACTTGGTAAAAAATGGTTAACATAGCATAAGTTCTTGAATAGGACATTTAAAGGTGGGGTAGGTCATTTTGGAGAAACCAGCTCGAGTGCGCTAGAATTTGAAAATACACAACCGGAAAAAATCTGCCACTTCCTTACAAAGCCCCTCCTCCAACACACACGAACGCGCACATGACCAATGAGGGCACGAGATAAATTTGTGCACGAGATGGAAGGCTGACAGGCAGGTAGGCCATCCAGTTATTTTTGCCGGGCCGGCTAAAATGATTGGTCGTGCTTTTTACAGCGCTACGGCTTCCACAGATGACATTTTTTTATGTATTTATTGTCAAAGCACTTCAGATATTCATTGCTATCGGGATGTTAAGAGCATTCCATGGAATATAACAAAAAGTGTTTCTGAAATCAAATTACATACCCCACCTTTAAGTTTAAAATGTAGTGGTTGATTACGTAGTTTAATTTAAGCAGTTAGTTCCAGAGGCGCTAAATAAATAAGAAGAAATAAGCCAGAGCTACACACACAAAAACAGCAATGGCACACTGATTTCTCTGATTCAATGAACATCAGTCATCACCTATCTGTTGCCCTGGTGATAATAGGTACACACACACACACACACACACACACACACACACACACACACACACACAGATATGGAAATCACAACACTGTTTGACCTATTTGACCTGACATTAATCTGTGTGTGCTTGTAACCAATGAATGTGTGTTTGTCTTTTACAGCTTGTATGTCCTCTATGTGTTAGAATAAAGAGTGTTTATTGTTTTTTGGCACCTAATTATAAAACCCCATAATAACCTGAATGACCCCTCCCCCACAGGTCCCCACCTCCACCACGGAGCTCAGCACCATGCTGTTACCTCGCCCTTCATCCTTGCAGGGCTCTGTGCAGAGAGGGAGGGCTCTCAGTGCGGCCAGCTACCTCACCGACGCCATGGAGGGTGAGCACAAACACTCAACTGAAAATACAGGGAGTCAATAAACATAATAGAATCAGATTTATCACAAATTAGGTTTACACATACAAAGACGTTGCTTCTTTCGTGCAATCCATAGTCCTTCAGATGTATTTCAGACTTTTAAAAATATTGAGCATCAGTGTCTGTGAATCCATTAAAAAGGTCTCAATACTGGACCATATTCAGAAAATGTTCAACCCTTTAGTCAGTCTGACACAAAGATATGTAAAAACAGGGTCCATGCTGAATACTGAAATTCCCCTTTAATACCGGACTGTAACCTTGTCTGACTTTTTACCTCAGTGTGTGTGTGTGTGTGTGTGTGTGTGTGTGTGTGTGTGTGTGTGTGTGTGTGTGTGTGTGTGTGTGTGTGTGTGTGTGTGTTGCACATGTGTTGAGTGGTTGATTGTGTGTGTGTGGGATTGTGTAACCATGTTTTGTTTGAATTTTTCATCGGAAGTGAGTTTGTGAAGTGTGAATGCGTGTGCTTCTAGACTGTCTGCATGCGTGTGTAATTGTGTAATGATATCAGAGTTTTTCTCTATGTGTGTGTGTGTGTGTGTTGGTGTGTGTGTGTGTGTGTGTGTGTGTGTGTGTGTGTGTGAGTGTGTGTGTGTGTGTGTGTGTGTGTGTGTGTGTGTGTGTGTGTGTGTGTGTGTTGTGTGTGTGTGTGTGTGTGTGTGTGTGTGTGTGTGTGTGTGTGTGTGTGTGTGTGTGTGTGTGTGTGTGTGTGTGTGTGTGTGTGTGTGTGTGTGGGATTGTGTAACCATGTTTTGTTTGAATTTTTCATCGGAAGTGAGTTTGTGAAGTGTGAATGCGTGTGCTTCTAGACTGTCTGCATGCGTGTGTAATTGTGTAATGATATCAGAGTTTTTCTCTATTGTGTGTGTGTGTGTGTGTGTGTGTGTGTGTGTGTGTGTGTGTGTGTGTGTGTGTGGTGTGAGTGTGTGTGTGTGTGGTGTGTGTGTGGTGTGTGTGGTGTGTGTGTGTGTGTGTGTGTGTGTGTGTGTGTGTGTGTGTGTGTGTGTGTGTGTGTGTGTGTGTGTGTGTGTGTGTGTGTGTGTGTGTGTGTGTGTGTGTGTGTGTGTGTGTGTGTGTGTGTGTGTCGCTGCCCAAACCAACCCCAGGGGGACACTGGCTTTGTTTGTGTGAGAGAGTTGGGGGAAAAAAGAGACAGAATGAAAGAAAGAGTGTGTGTGTGTGTGTGTGTTTGTGTGTGTGTCTGTTTGTGTGTATGTATATTATGATGGTTTCCCTCATTAACCACGAGCTCTTTTCCATGAGTGTGTGTCTGTTTGATGATATTCATGATTTTTTTTGGTTCATATCCGTCCAAATCTGCATTTTTTTGTGTTTGTGCGTATGTCAGTGTGTGTGCGTGTCTGTGTGCGTGTGTGTTTTTCTGCTGAGTCACTGTCTCTCCCCTCAGCAGTCACCGCTCTAACAGAACAGATCATCATGGAGAAACCTTTTCAAAATGATATTTTTTGTCCTCCGTCCATCCATCTGTACACCATTATTATCTCCTTTTTTTCCATTCCTAATTATTCTATCTATTTCTCTGTTATTGACAGTTGTATTTAACATAAAGAGGCTTCTTGGCCACAAGAGAGTAAATCCACTTAACTTCTTCATCCTTCACCTTGTTTTTTCGTAAAGTTGATAACATTACATTTAAAAAGCTACTTAAATATTGAGTGTTCTGGTCAGAAGTGTGGATTCATGTCACATGACTTGGACTCGAGTCATGAATGTTAACGACACAATCAATAAAAGTTCTTCAACTCGACTTTGACTTTAACACAAATAACTCCAGACTTGGACATAATACTCTCCCCATGCCAAAAGATAAAAATGATGTTGTAAAAACGGCAACAGGATATAAATATTGCATGTGAACACCAGGAACAACGATGGAAATAAGTACAGGAGGTTATTATTTTATCCATTATGCTGTATTAGAAATAAATCAGGATACACCTGATCAGTTTTGGATGTTAGGGTTACCTGAAAGTGATGCACATACATTTTCAGAAGCATGCATACTTACTTTATTTTAAAGTTTAAAATGGCAGCAAGGTTTGATTAGATTCAAAACAAAAACGTTCTAACATGAACTTGTCTGAGGACCCCAGACTTGAACAGCAGATACCTTTTTTACAAATATTTGTTTTATTATTATTAAACAATGATCATTTCCTCTAATATTCCGAATCATACTAGAATTCGATACCTTTCTAAATATCACACTTAGTTATTTTTTCAAATCGTGTAGCCCTTCTCCCAAGGATCTATAATTGACCAGTCCTAAATGCACTTTGTTTGCAGAGCTGGAGGAGGCCCATAAGAAGTGCCACCCGTGCTGGTACGTGTTCGCCCACAAGTACCTGGTGTGGGAGTGCTCCCCCTCCTGGCTGAGGCTGAAGCAGCTGGTGAACATCATGGTGATGGACCCCTTCCTAGACCTGGCCATCACCGTGTGCATCGTCCTCAACACGCTCTTCATGGCCATGGAGCACTACCCCATGACCGACGAGTTCAACGGCATGCTGAGCATCGGCAACCTGGTAGGAGGGGGGGGAGGGAGTTAGGGAGGAGGGATGGGTGTGTTTGTTTCGGGTGGGTGGATGGTAGAATAGAAGGGCGGATGGATGGATGTACATATATATTGATGAATTGATTGGTAGCTTTGTGTATTGATAGATTGAGGGATGGAGGGATGGATGGAGGGAGGGAGGGAGGGATGGATGGATAATATATTGGGTGGATGGATGGATGGATGGATAATATGGTGGATGGATGGATAATATGGTGGATGGATGAATACAAATATTTGGTTGATGGATGGATGGATAGATGGTTGGAACATGAATCGATGAATGAGTGGTTGGTTGGTTGAGGGAAGGATGGACCATTAGTTGGTTTGTGAGTGGGAGGATGGATAGATAAATGGATGTTAAATAGACGGATGCGTGGTTGGAGGATAGATGGATACCAAAATGGATGTTGGATGGATATATGAGAACATAAATGATGGATGGATAAATGGATGGACAAATAGATACATTGTTGAAGGGATGGATGGGTTAAAGCTTTTGCCATCGAGTGTGCATTTTATTCATCCCAGTGAAATGTGTCCTAGAACTTGCGTGCAGTAACATGTATAGTGACATGCTGGTAAAAACATTATATGGAATGCTTTTTCTATGTAGGAAAAATAAGGGAGAAAAATCCAAGCAGATTCTGGTTCGAAAGGAGAGGGTAGGCAACAACTGCAGACCGTGGACCAATAGTTGTCAGTTAACATTTATTTGCAAATTAAGTCTGCCTGACTTGAGTTCCACAAAGGAAGAAAGAAAGAAAATACATTTTGTTTGCACTATACAACGTTTATCAATATACTATATTAAATTGGAGCGATTTGGTCTTCTGAAGAATCTGGATGAACATCGTACCAACTTTTCTTGGAAGAGTGTAAAGCAGGTTTCTCCTCCTTTACTGTGTGGGATAAACAAACTCCAGGCGAGTTAAATTGAGGGACAAAGAATCCTGCTTGCGAAACAACTCTTAGACCTTTGGATTTGTCCCGAACCCATTTGTACAATTTACAAACCTCTGGACTGAACCTCCGACAAATCGACTCTTTGCTCTTGTAGGATTGTTTTATTTTGGTCCTTCACTAGAAAGTTGAGGTGAGTTTGAGTATTGGATCTGACAGAACCGGGTCGGGTGTTTTAGGCAGCGTGACTAACGCCATGTTCGACCCCGCAGGTGTGCTGCTGATCTGACAGCAGCTGATAGGTTGATGCAATATGCTAATCGCTTCACCTGAGGTGTGAACTGCTAGGAGCACCATGTTGATCACACCTGCCAACACACACACACACACACACACACACACACACACACACACACACACACACACACACACACACACACACACACACACACACACACGTATCTGTCCATGGATGTCAGGTTTCCTCAGTTCAGGCTGCAGGCAGCTGTTTGGGGCAGAGAATGGTAATAAAGTGTAAAAGTAGAAACAGGGGCTGTCGGCCTGCAGCAGTGCGGTTCAATCACCAGGTCAGTGCTTAAAGGCAGGACACTGAGAGCGGATAGATGCTTTTATAACATCTATGATAACCTAGTTTTCAGGTACAGTGAATAATTTACCTGAAGGAATAAGTACAGTTTAGATTTGAAATGTTTTTTTTTTGTTTTTTTTCAGGACTGAAATCAAGACTGTGTGAAAAAGAATTCTCACACATCCAGTAATTTAGCTTCTACCCTACTGCCCTACTTTTTCCCAGTTCACCCAAACATTTGAAGCCAATATTTTTCCTTTTATTCACTCTGCTTTTTTGAAAAAAGAAATGTGTTATTTATAAAATCCATTTCATGTAAATGGCCTGTCAAAATGCAGAAATTATGTTTTGAGGCTCTTTCCCCCCACTTTGCTAATCTGCTTTCAGATGTTTTTTGTCTGTCTCATACATGCACCACTCGTGTAGACCTTTTAAAAAAATAAAAACTGTTACCTGCAAAGAGACGAGATTCATTCCCATTTTAATATCCATCAATCAATTAACTATACACCAACGTATCCTCTGCAGAGTCACAGGAAACCTGAGCAGGAAATGGGGTGCATTTTTCAAATCTACGCAGGAAAAGGACCTTTTCGGTTTGATTGAAGTGGCCACAAAGAAGTAAAACACCTCATCGACCACAAAGAAAGAAATAATAAACAGATCAAACATGGCTTTCAATCAGGCATTATATCCCCCCTAGTTTGTCCACAGTTTGATGAGTGAAAACCCGGTACACTTGAGCATGGTCACATGAGTCACCACTGCTTAGGTGGCTAATGTTTCCTTAGATGACATCTATTAGTCTCATTTAGACACTTTTTAGCAACCGCTATTTTTAAATTCACCAATGCGATATTTAAATATGTTCAGCTTGTGTTAAACACAGACCTTATTTCAGTCTTCTAAGTAAAAATATGTTGAAAAGAAACATTGGCTTACAAACGGTTGAACAGGAAGTGTTTAACAATGACTCATTTCTGGGTTTTAGGACTCATTTCGCACCACTCTTTAAAGTGCCTTACATTTACAAGCCACCCATTCACACTCCATTCATACAGAGCTAGGTGCCACTTGCAAGCTAACAATCACACACATTTACACACTGTTGGCTATGCCATCTTGAGCGACTCAGGGTTAAGTATCTTGGCAAAGGATACAATAACATGGTTTGGATCGAACACGTAACAATTCGTTTTAAAAGCGACCGCAAAGCCTCACAGCCACAGTGCCCACATATAGAGAGTGATATCTACCGTATAATTAAGTGATAATTGGTTTATTTTATGCACCATTATTCTCTCAGAATGCTTTCACCCCATCCTTTGCTGTTGTATAACCTCCCTCTAATATTTCCTCTGCGGCTTTAAAATGTCTGTATACTTCTGCAGCGTAAACAGTCTAAACTTTATTAAATGTATTCGGTTCAGGTCTCAGACAAAAGCTGAGTCACGTCAAAAGGATCCGATTTCAGTCTGCAGTCTGCAGTCGCTAAGTTCTTTATGGGATAATTCCTCTAAGCTCCTCAGATGTTTACATAGCATTTAGCTGGCCTCTCTGACCGTCAGTGTGTGTGTGTCTGTGTGTGTTTGTGTGTGTTATATAAGGTAGTGTGTTGAGGATCATGCCAGGACATTCCTGACAGGATCGATGTGTACTAATGCTTCCTCTGTTTGTTGTTGTTTGTTTTGTGCTCTGCAGCTTTGCTCACATGTCAATAGTTCCATGCCTGTATTTAAAGGATGCATACCATTTAGTGTAGGCTTTTATCCATAAAGAGCCCCTCCTCTCCTGAGTGTACTTTAGCTTTTACGTCTCTAATAGTTACAGATAGGGGTCGGCACAGTGGGGGAAAAACAAATGCATATTGATATATGGCATTTATTTACAACTGACAGTTGGTAGTGCAAAAAGAGACAACATCCTCCTGCTGGAGACTGATTAGAGGTGGGAAAGTATTCTGTTTTATTCAAGTAAGAGTACCGATACCACTCTGTTAAAATACTGTTATATGTAATAGTACTGTTTAAAAAAAGGTTACTTAAATAAAGTTAAGTTATAAAGTATTAAGTGTAAAAGTAAAAATGCACACAAATCAAAGAAAAGCACCCAAAATGACCAATGCACCTCTGCACATGTATCTGCATCCTGTAAGCAACAATCATTTTTGAAACTTGATGCTTCATCTTTGCATGAAGGCTTTCAACACGGCCCCCTCACACTTTTTGTCCCGAACTGTGCCTCTATCTCCTGTGGAGGACTTGAGGACCTTGTGGATATTTTGTCTGAATGCCTGAAGAAATACTTGCTGCCTCCCAGTCTTGTTAGTGTGTGAATGAAAAATGAGCCTCAACGTCTGCTGTAATGAAGTTTCTTTGTAGAGAGAGGACACTGGAGGATAAACTATACTCATCCACAAACACACAGAGTGTTGTCAGCATTGTGCTGTCCTTGCTAAAGGGCACTAGGGCAATGCTTGATGGTGCTTACATTTTGGGGACATGCATTGCATTGTTTTTTTGGAGTACAGCTCTCTGAGAAACTCGACACCTAAAACAAACGTAACAAATCATTTGGGTGAATACACCCAGGAATAAAGTGAAGTATAAAGCGTTAGTTGGTTTAAAACTGATTCTAGGAACACCGAAAATTGATTAAATCAAATGACTCATCTGTATTATGAAACTCTACGTGTGTGTGTGTCCTGGTGCCTACTCATTACATCTCATCTGTCTGCTTGTAACAAAGTATACACTCTCTCTCTCACACACACACACACAAACACACACACACACACACACACACACACAAACACACACACACACACACACACACACACACACACACACACACACAGAGTCCGTGTCATCCGCTCTCTGCTGATGTTACTGTTATTAGTGAGTGCTGATGTTGACATCCCCTATGTGTGAGCCAGTGACACACACACACACACACACACACACACACACACACACACACACACACACACACACACACACACACACACGAGCTGGTCAGAGTATTTTTCATCCCTCAGTCAGTGAATCAGAGACTTTGCCTCTGCAGAAACACACACACAGACTCTGTGTCTGAATTTGAAAGTCATCACTCTGAGTTTCAGACTTGCATCAGCGTGTCCTCAGAAACACAAAGTTCTCTTACTTAATGTGTGTCATAAACAACGATATTTACAAAATAGCAAAGATCTGAATTCCCTCTCAAACAAGTTTTCCATCCATTTTGAATTATTTGGTAGTATGGCTACCTATTTGTGTGTGTTCGTGCTGTGTTCATCCTAACTCTTAGGTGGATACTTGGTAGTTATTGTTGCTCCCCAACAACAACATTTAGATCTATCAAAGAGAAATATTTGTGTACGCGGCATCAGTTTCACATTTTGAAAAGTTAAACGCTGCTAAAGTGCATTGATTTGCTTGAATTCAAACCTGCAGATGAAAAACATTTCAAGCCTGATTCCAGAATTGTAGAATAACACTTAAAAATACTTTTTAGGCAACACAGTGTTGACTGGTACACCAAAAAGACATTCAAAAATTAATAAAATAAAATAAATGAAAGTAAAATATTGATGAATACAAATCTAATTCAAGAAGATCTCATATCATTTTGCAATATTTTCCAAATCGTATAAACCCCTAAACATCTCCTCTTAGTTTATAAAATACTTATATAATATGATAGCTGGAGTATCTGTGTGTGTGCCAGAGGCTGCTGCTGATATTTGACAGCTGAACTGTGTTTAACTTCATTAACGTCACTACGTCTGACGTCAACACAATCTTACACACACACTGTTACACACACTGTGCACTGATCAGTAACACTGCATTAATGTGAGGAACACTCTGACATGCCTGCTTCTATTTTGTTTAAAATTCTCTCTGAGGCTGATTCATTTCACATTCTCCTTTTCCCTCTACCTTTCCGTCTGAGAGCTCCTCAAACTCACATCCTGATAAGAGAGGCTCTCCTGATGCCGGTAATAATAACAGCGTGATTGTTGAGGAGCTAATCAACGCACTACAGAGTTAATGAGCCCGTAAGAGGATCATCTGTGTGTGTGAATGGGTGTGTGCATGTGTAGGTGTGTGTGCATGTGTATGTGTATGATTGTGTGTATGTGTGTGTAGTGGTAAATAGAGGTAACCCCTGAAAGATCCTGTTTTTTTGTGTGAAATTTAGTCACATCTTTGAACCACATAAATTGCTTTTTGCACATACAATGCCTGTGAAACAAACACACACATTTGAAGAGAAAGACACACATGCGCACACACTGCCTGTAAAACACACATTTCAAAAACAATCATACACAAACAAACAAACATGCAAACACACTATTTGTAAAACACACACATGCTTAGAAACAGACACACATGCACACACACAGTGTGTCACGTAGCCTGTGTCACATCCAGAATCTTCCTCTTTCTGGAACAACAAGCAGGAAGAGGCTGCTGCTGCGAGGACACACTCTCACATGCACGCTAGACACACACTCTTTAGACGCACACACACACATGATGTAAAGCAGACGAAGCACACCCAGTTCGCTGAGGTCTGCAGAGGCTTAAAGGATCAAACCGCTGAGGAGAGTGTTCAAATTAATCAGAGTTTCAAAAAAGAAAATCAGGAACATGGCTGCCTTTGCGAACTGCAAACAGAACATCCTGTTCCCAGAACACACACGTGTTCAAATTAAATAGTTCACAATTTTGAAAGTCCTTAAAAACGAGCAAGTTCACCGGATGTTGTGGAGTTTACTTTCACACTTATTTTCAGCATTTTGTATAAAGTATCTACTGTTTGTGTTTTCTTCTCTAACATCCGGTAGTATTAATGAATAGCCAGGTGTTGCTCTCATGTAACTCAGTTGAAAGAGAAAGGTATTTATCAATTTCCCTCTTTCTCTTTTTCACCTTCTCTGTTTCGACAGTGAACATTACTGTGTTTTTTTTGTTGTAAGTTATTTTGGTTGCCTCTGAGCAAAATGCTCACTGGTAGGCAGTGATGTAGTGTAAACAGTATGCCAAAGGCTTTTATTGTGAAAGGGAGAATGCGAACAGACAGATTTTGATAATAAATCAAAGATTATAGGGAATAAATCTTTACAGAATACACAGTGATTTCCCAATTGTGAAAAAGCTTTGAGTATTTAATAGGCGTGTTAATGTGGCTTAAGCATCCGTCATAAACTAAGATATCAGATCTCTTATGGAACCTGAATATAAATGTGTGTGTGTTTGTGTGTGTCAGGTGTTCTCGGGGATCTTCACAGCAGAGATGTTGCTGAAGATCATCGCTCTGGATCCATATTATTACTTCCAGACGGGCTGGAACATCTTCGACAGCATCATCGTCTGCCTCAGCCTGATGGAGCTCGGCCTGTCGGACGTGGAGGGGCTCAGCGTGCTCCGCTCCTTTAGACTGGTGACTGCAAACACACACACACACACACACACACACACACACACACACACACACACACACACACACACACACACTCATATTATTCCTCAACACCTTTTTACACAGACGTATTCTCTTTCAGCTGTCCTTCAAAATCAGACATTTTTAAGTTGAGTTTGTAAAACATGCACCCATTTTTTCCAACCTTTTCAATGGGTAGCAGAACGTTATATGAGAGGCTATTCTACATATATCCAGAGGTCTTTACTTAAATAAAAGTAGCAATAAAGTGATGAACAGAAATGGCTCCATTCTGCATAATGAGTGCTCATTCTTTGGCACTTAAAGTTTATTTTGATGCTAGTTTGAAGATTTTTTTCTTTAAATTGAGTAAAATTAAAAAGGAAGGAAACTTGTAACTGAGAATTTCACCCTTTTGTATTTATACTTTTACAACCAATTAAGATCATTACAACACATGCTGGCTTCTGTTCAGCTGCAGACAAGTTGTCGCACAAGACAAGGACGATGGTTGTCAACATCAAGACACACACACACACACACAGATCCCTGAAGCCTGTCTTCGCCTGTCTTCGTCTGTCTGCGTCGATCTCTCCCAGTGTCACTCTGAGTATTGTAATCGTCTGCTGGAGGCAAACACACAGATACTCTCGTCAACACACACATTATATGTTTGCTTCTTTCTTTTCCTTGTCGTTCTTTTGTTTCGTGTACCTTCTTTGTCATTTCTTTTTCTTGTTGGTTTACTGTGTCCACATTTTTTGTTTCTCTTACTGATGTAACATTTCTATTGGTTACATTTATTTTAAGAACAACTCTTATTCTGAAAATCCTTTGCTTCCAGCTTCGTGTTTTTAAGCTGGCCCGCTCATGGCCGACACTCAACACCCTGATAAAAATCATCGGTAACTCCATGGGCGCTCTGGGAAACCTGACGCTCGTCCTCGCCATCATCGTCTTCATCTTCGCCGTGGTCGGCATGCAGCTGTTCGGCAAAAACTACCAGGTCAGCTCTGACCTCTGACCTTTTTGTAAATGCATATTGACAGGAAAAATGTTGTTGTGGTTTTAGTGTGTTATTATTATTTTCTTTTGTGCAATACTTGTGGATCATCGTGTTCATCAATAACAAAAAAACATTTTTAAGTGGGGAGAAAGTGCTTGTTCACGCTGTTCCCTCTCGTTGCAGGACTGTGTGTGTAAGATCTCGAAAGACTGCACCCTCCCTCGCTGGCACATGAAGGACTTCTTCCACTCCTTCCTCATCGTCTTCAGGGTGCTGTGCGGCGAGTGGATAGAGACCATGTGGGACTGCATGGAGGTTGCCGGGCAGCCACTCTGCTTACTCGTCTTCATGCTGGTCATGGTCATTGGAAACCTGGTGGTGAGTGACCTTTGACCAACAATAACATATATTGTCTTTATTTAAACTCCCAACAATATAAATCACATACATAATCATTCATTTTCCAAAAACTTCTCCTACATCACATTTAACAATGGAAGTGTCATTACTTTTTTGTTATCAATTACGTATGTTAGAAAAACAACAATAGTTACTAGTTACTTTTGCAGACTTTGGTTATTAAGACAAGACTATTCAAGTAGGTACAGCAGACAGGAGGGGGTAACTGGAGAAGAGGAAGTACACTTTATAATGGTCAACAACACACACACACACATACTCACACACAAACGCACTCACACAACGATTGATTGATGTGTTTTAAAGGTGAGGACATGTGGTGAGCTCATGCTGGTTGAGGGGGGTACATTTTATAGTAAGGCAGGTAAGATGAGTGTGTGTGTGTGTGTGTGTGTGTGTGTGTGTGTGTGTGTGTGTGTGTGTGTGTGTGTGTGTGTGTGTGTGTGTGTGTGTGTGTGTGTGTGTGTGTGTGTGTGTGTGTGTGTGTGTGTGTGTGTGTGTGTGTGTGTGTGTGTGTATACGTGTGTGTGTGTGGTTGTATGGGGGGTACAGTGTAAGATGAGATGAGCGATAGTTATCAGAAGAAAGGCAATCTTTCCTCTCCTCTTTTCCTCTGTGTGTGTGTGTGTGTGTGTGTGTGTGTGTGTGTGTGTGTGTGTGTGTGTGTGTGTGTGTGTGTGTGTGTGTGTGTGTGTGTGTGTGTGTGTGTGTGTGTGTGTGTGTGTGTGTGTGTGTGGTGTGTGTGTGTGTGTGTGTGTGTGTGTGTGTGTGCGTGAGTGGGTCTGGGTGATTACGCTTGTTGTTCAAGATAACACCGGTCAGTCCAGGTCATGCTTCCTGTTACATGAGAGTGCACAAGGGTATTTGATATCAAAAACAAGAGTCAGTGATGGATAACATGCCTGATGATCCAATCTGAACACAAACGATGATTCATTTACATTCAAATCTGCTGCTTTAGATAGGTCAGGAAGCCAACAAAATATATTATATGAGTAATATTTACACTATGTGGAAATGAGATTTAACTCTGGTTAAAATAAAACAGAAAGATATCACAACATAAACTCTTTAAGCCGAGTTAAGTTGATCACAGAATCTCATTTTCAACTTGTGGTCACAGTGAAATGAAATGTGTATACATCAATTACATACATCAATTGATCTTTTCATATAGAAATGTGGTATTTCAGTTTGTGAATAAAGCTCTGCCAATTATTTCTTATATTTATTGTTTATGAAGACAAATGTATTTTGTATCTGGAGAACTGAAAAAAGTTTCCAAAAGAAATAGAAAGATACACTTGAAAAACAATACTGTGTGTATTGGCATGTTTTGAGAAGAAAGGGTTTGGGTTCAAACTAACAACAAGATACTTTTATGTCAGTAAACTTGTTTTTCCAATTTTAATTTTGCTTCTTATTTTCTTCTTCTTATTTTTAGAATTTTTCTTTATCAGAAAGAGTCTCATATATTCACTAGTCAGTAGACCTGTGTGTGTCCTTGCGTGTGTGTGCGTGTTTGGCAATAATAGAGTCTCATTCATCTATTTAGCTTAATGGTCTCATGGATATTTAATAACGAGCTTGAAAGACCAGACAGCTTACACACACACACACACACACACACAGACACACACACACACACACACACACACACACACACACATATACACACACACATGCACACACACACACGCACACACATACATATACATACACACACACACACACACACACACGCACACACACACACACACACACACACACACACAGGCAGTCAACAGCCTCTTATTCTTCTCCTGTCAGTTGCAGGAAGTGTATCTCCCTGCAGAGGGATATGCTGACCGCACTGTGTGTGTGTGTGTGTGTGTGTGTGTGTGTGTGTGTGTGTGTGTGTGTGTGTGTGTGTGTGTGTGTGTGTGTGTGTGTGTGTGTGTGTGTGTGTGTGTGTGTGTGTGTGTGTGTGTGTGTGTGTGTGTGGGTGTGTGTGTGGGTGGGTGGGTGGGTGGGTGGGTGGAGGGGGTGTGTGTGTGTCATGGTGACGGAACCTTTCCAATTCAGCTGATTTATCCCTCTGAAATGGCCTCATTGTGCTCGGCTCAGAATGTGTGTGGTACTTTGTGTATTTGTGTGTGTATGTGTGTGTTGAGGCATTTATCCATGCATTCCTAAGTGTATGAATATGATTCAGTTTTTTGTTATGAGATGTCAACTGTGCACCTCAATATGAAGCAGCAAGAAAGGACAAACAGAAAGAACAGAAAGTATAATGACAGGGTGCATGTATAAAAGCCAGAAAGCAGCGAGCGATGATGTAAGGGAAGAGCACATAGGAAGGAAGGAAAAAGAGAATTGAGAATAAAGGAAGGAGGAAAAGATGGGGAAATGAAGGGAAGGTAGAATGAAATAGTATTAAAGGAAGAAAGAAAGGAGGGAAACAGAGAATAATGGAAAAGGAGTCTCCAAATAAAGAAAAGAGAGCTAATAAAGGAAAGGAGGAAGTAAGGAAGACAGGTAAAGGGCAAGTGGTGGAAATAGAAGAAAGGAAGGTGATAGGAAGGAAGAGACAGAACGAAGGAAGAAGAGTAACATTAAAAAGAAAGGAAGGAGGGAAGGGAGGGAGTAGGAATAACAAGAAGGAATAAGCAAGGATAAAAGCTAGAGGGATAGGGAGAAAGAGCAAAGCAAAGGTGGAAGAAAAACATTTTTAAAGAAAGGAAAGTCAAATTGAAGGAAGTTGAAAAGAGAGCCAATGAAAGGAAGCGAAAGGATGAAGAAAGAGACGTAAAGGAAATGATATAAACCAGTGAAACCAAAGGCGAGTTACTATAAGAAGTAGAGAATCTCATATATGAGAATGAAGGAAGTCATCAGTGACATCAGTCAGTCTCACTTCAACATGTCACATGATGTTAGACTATTACCCAGAAGGCCCCGAGGCAGAGGACGGGAGCAACTGTTATGTCACACACAGATACACACACATTTATGTTCACATGTAACCGTAGGTAGTTGCTTCCAATTTGCATTCAAACAAGTCACGGCACAGCTGATGGCGTGTGCCTTGTTTGTATCTAAAGGTAAACAACACCCATACTTTCACTGGCAAATAAAAACACTTCTCTTATACATCTTACGTACGCTGAGGGGTATGCCACTCTATTTCTGTGTGTGTGTGTCTGTGTGTGTGTGTGTGTCTGTGTGTGTGTGTGTGTGTGTGTGTGTGTGTGTGTGTGTGTGTGTGTGTGTGTGTGTGTGTGTGTGTGTGTGTGTGTGTGTGTGTGTGTGTGTGTGTGTGTGGTGTTGTGTGCGTGCGTGTGTGTGTGTGTGTGTGTGTGTGACATAAATCCATATGAGACACCCAACTGATTTAAAAAGTTCAAAAATATAATCGCAACAACTTAAATCAGCTGTTTTCTAAAAGAAGTTTGGTGCATATTTCTGTGTCACATTCAACATAATGCGCAAAATAAAAGTTCCAGATGTTACCTGCAGCTCTTTTGAAGTCACTTTATGTTAACGCACATTATATAACAGTTTAATAAGTTAATTACGTTAACATTTTTGATTTAATAATAATAATAGCTTGGATTTATATAGCGCCTTTCATGAGACCCAAGGTCGCTTTACAAAGAAGAACAGGGGCAAAACAAACATAACAAAAACAAAAGGCAGTCAGACAAACATTCAGACAGACAAAACAACAAATAGATTAGGGGCCAAAGGCCTTAGCAAACAGATGGGACTTGAGGGCCCTTTTGAAGGCGTCAAGCGTGGGGATGTTGCGGATCTCCGCAGGGAGAGCGTTCCAGAGGGTGGGGGGGGGTGGTAAGCAGGTCAGAGTCTGAAGACCGCAGGTTCCGGGGAGGGGCATGTGGGCGAAGGATGTCCGATAGGTACTAGGGGGCATGGGCATGGAGGGACATATGGATATGCAGGACTTGACCGGCAGCCAGTGGAGGTGGATGAGGGTGGGAGTGATGTGCTGCCACGGCTTTGTATGTGTGAGTACCCTGGCAGCACAGTTTTGAACATACCTGAGCCTGACCAGGGTTTTGTTGGGGACCCCAAACAGGACACCATTGCAGTAGTCCAAGCGGGAGGTAACAAGCGCATGGACTAGGGTTTCTGCAACCGGCTCCGAGAGTGACGGTCGGAGTCTGGCAATGTTCCTTAGATGGAAAAAGGCCGATTTGGTCACAGACTTGATGTGGGAGTGGAAGGAAAGGGTGGACTTTAGGGATAACTATCTCAGCAAACCTGTAGACACAAGATGCAGCTCTTGCTTTGCTTTTGCTCTGGAAGTGTTTCCTTTAATTCCTACTGTATCTTACAGACCTGGTTTCTGAATGCTGTGTGTGTGTGTGTGTGTGTGTGTGTGTGTACACGCAGCTGCAGACTGTTGCGGTTGAGCAGATGTTTGGTTTCTCTTTTTGACAAACGAGCGGCTGAATGTGTGTCAGCACTTCACCTGCAGCACACCTGCCGCCACGCAATCTTCCTCTTGTATTACTCTTCTTCCTTTCATCTAACACTGTGTATTCAACACCTTTAATCATTATGACTTCTCATCAGATTCTTTAGAAACCAGAAATCAGCAATTTGAAGATTACTTGGATACATTCTAGGATTAATGGTGGATGGATCATTCATTTATGGTATGGTTCATCCCAATAGACACAGAAACCTTTTAGTAATGTGAGGAAAAACACAGGTCTAGAGGAGGTTGGTAGTCAAATGTTTAATTATCCTTCTAATACATCAGCTCAATAATCTGTGTCATTTACTACTTTCTAATTACTGAATGTATGAACACTGATTTTTAAGTTATGTATGCTATTTCTTAAGCAGCTTGCTTGAAGAACAATGTGTCCATTCACATTTGGTCCCATTGTGTACTCTTCTAGTTCAGTATATGTGTACTTTATAATAGTAAGTAGCTCATGTTGTTCATGCACTTAAACATCAAAGAATCCAAACATGAACTCTACACTTTCACTCCCCTGATGCCTCATGTCTTCCCGCTCCTTCTTACCTCAAGCTTTTATCCCAGGGGGTTTTGCTCAAGGGGGTTTGTTGTGACGAGGAGAAACAGATCATGTTCCTGCTCATTCATCATGTGTGTATGTGTGTGTATATTGTGTGTACGTGTGTGTGTTTGAGCGTGTTTCCAGGACACCAGCTGTTTCCTGGAGTATCCTCGTCTACCTGAGTTGAACTTTAGTCTGATTCTAGCCTGAGTATCTATGGAAGATGTTAGATATTTGTTGTTGTTGTTGTTGGATAAACTAACACATCGGTATATAACATTTTTCAGCAAAAGACATATTTTTTATCTATTCAAATCAGTACCATTTTTCACTGCCCCCTAGTGGCGAGAAAATACATAAAATCTTGTTTAAAGATTATTATTTGAGCGTATTTTCAATGGACTGTATATATATATTACATATTTTCATGTATATCAGGTTAAATAAGTTACACAGAGGAAAGGGGAGTCCTCTGTGTGTCAGTGGTGTGTTATCGGATTATTGGAGGCAGGAAGGTCGTTAGGGGAGCCGTCGCTCATGTTGCCATGTTAGCCAATCAGCAGCATTGATCTATTGGCCCCACAGCCAATCAGATGTCAGCACTATGGGGATGGTGAAGCTGCCGGATACTGATCTGTCACACAAACAACACATACACCTCAGGCTGGGATCAATAAACAAAAACACACACGTGCACACACACAAGGAAATAGACATAAACTCACACTTGTTTCTTTTTCACACATTTCCACCAGTTCACACAAACACAAACACTTCTCTACTCCGCCATGTGCAATACAGATACACACACAAACACACACACACACATGCATACAATACATCATCAAAGTCCCCATTTTAGTACTGCCAACATTTGAAAACGTATAAATATCAGAACTTAGTTCGAAAATATTCCACCAAAAGTAAACGTACGTCGAAAACATTATCAGACAGGTTCTTTCTTACTGTAATTTAAGTTTTAAATGATTTAAAATAAAAAAATAATACCAAAATATAAAATTAATCAGGAAAAATAAAACAGCAGCACTTAGATAAAATAGTAATATGTGTTCTGCAGAACAAATATCTTCCAAAAATGTTGAGCAAATTTGAGAAATGTATTCACAAACATTCATAAAAGAGTTCCAATGATGACATTTTCTTTCATGATCCGATTTCATTAAAAAAATGTGGAAAGTGAAAAAACATAATGCTACTCTAAAAAATTGTTCTGTATACAAAAATAAGTGTTTTGTAATCAATACACATCTGATACACTAATGCTTTATGACACACACGCAGGTCAGGTGGTGCTTCCTGGTGTCAGATATTGACCCACTGGCCTGGTTTCCTCTTACACAATCAGAAACTGGTATACGTGGTTTTTCTGTGTGTTGTTTTTGTCATTTTTAACAGATATAGGAAGTAAATCCCCAATAAACATTTTAAAAGCAATGTCTCTTTGTGCACGTTGATATCATTAAACTCACTTTTTGTCATTTGTTATGTATGTAAATTATACAGTATTGAAACATTATAAGGCATGAAAAATGCACTTCATGCAGCACATTTTTTATGTAAACAAATGATTTGCTTGAAAGTACACAGTATGACATTCAAGTGTTTTGATGGAAAGATTTGTTCAGTGTTTGGTCCATCTTCTTCTCCCTTTTCGTCTTCTTTCTTTGTTGTTCGTGTAATTCCGGGCAAACACAACGAACATGACTTTGTCTGCAGCCGCCTCAAGTGCCTTTAAGCACTTCTCACAAACACACACACAGAGTCACACACACACTCAGCGGTGGTTAAAGGGAAGCCAATCTGTTTAAGAGCAGCTCTCAGACTCAGTGATCAGTTACCAAGAGGCCTCAGGCATTATTCATCGCACAATGAGTAATCAACCTGCACTGGAAACTGTGATACCACAGAGTGTAAGTGTGTGTGCGCCAAATGACAGAGAACCGCGCGGTGAGAAACATCTAGAAGAAGATGGAGGGTTGAAAGACAGAAACAGCGGCTATTTTTTTTTTCTGGGTTATGAATAATTTGCTCCAAATGTGTCTAAATTAAACAAGCATTGAACATTACACACTTCAACTCAATTCGGTTTATTCACAAACACTTAAAAATATAGTACAACTACAGTATAAGACAGAATGGAGATATATTTATTGTCGTAGAGCGAAACTTTAAAATCTCCTCCCCTTGTCGTCTCCCTGCAGCTGCTGAACCTCTTCCTGGCTCTGCTCCTCAGCAGCTTCAGCTCTGATAACCTTTCGGCTCCGGACGATGACGGAGAAATGAACAATCTGCACATTGCCATCCATCGGATCACAAGAGGACTGGCCTGGTGCCGCAGACAGGTACTGATGGAATAAACACATTTTTAAGTGAAAGTTTTATCAAATATTTGTCTTTTTTTCCCCTTGCTCCAAATGCAATGATTTCAAAAAGAGTTGAGAAATGTGAAAAATAATCAGGCTTCAATGACGGACTCAGTTTAAACTAGTTTAAAACAATTATAACAGGTAAAAAAAAGAGAAAGTGGGGTCACAGAAAATGTCTTTGGATAGACTTGATAGATTGAAAAGACCAAGGATTGAGGCACCTTCCCTCTGATCTGAGGATGACTGCTTTCTACTTTCCTCTTATTGTTTCTCTTACTATATACCTCTGTGGTTCAAACGTCTCACACAGCAATTTATTTTTGTATCTGTGTGATGTAGGTTATAGATTTTTTCAACGGGAACCTGAAGCGTCGACGTCAGAAGAGGAAAGAAGTCAAAGCCATGATGAAGCTCAAACGCCTGAGCACCATCCACACCGAAGCCAATGGAGCCGTCATAGGTAACACACACACACACACACGCACACACACATACACACACACACACACACACACACACACACACACACACACACATGCACACAGGAGAGACATTTGCAAACAGTATGTCTCTTAAGATGAGAAGTTAAATAGGTTTTGGTTGGTGGATTTTGTTTCCTTCCGACAACGCTCCATGCTAGCAGTTCCCCTTAGTTTTCAACTTTTGTGCTAAACTAACTGGCTGTTGGATTACATTGGTGATTTAAGGTCTGCAGTATAACTGATGGGATTGCACATTGTTTATCAATTGAGATTTATACGTAAATACACAAGTAATCAGCTAGTTTACAAATGTATATTTTTGCACATTTTTGATGCTTGAGTATCCATGAACTCACCATCCATTCATTTTGACACATTATTAACTCTTGCTGTTTCTTTAACTTTTACCTCTCCATGTGTCCTTGCAGGCCGTCATGTGGAGAAGTACGTTGTTCCGGAGGAAGACAGCTACATGACAAACCCCAACCTCACCATCAGCGTCCCCATAGCCCCCGGGGAGTCAGACGTGGAGTTCCCCGAAGAGGAGGAGGAGGATGAGGGGGAGGAAGGGGATGAGGACCAGAGCGAGGGCTCCGAGGAGGAGGAAGAGGAGGAGGAGGAAAGGGAAGAGGAGGTAAGAAATGAGGGGAGGAGAGGGAGGAGATCATAAACACAACTGCACCTGTGTCTGATGTAAACAAGCTCAGGTGTGTGTGTGGGAGGAGGGTCAACCTTCTAACAGCTGGTCGGTTGTGTGTGTTGTGTGTGTGTGTGTGTGTGTGTGTGTGTGTGTGTGGTGTGTGTGTGTGTGTGTGTGTGTGTGTGTGTGTGTGTGTGTGTGTGTGTGTGTGTGTGTGTGTGTGTGTGTGTGTGTGTGTGTGTGTGTGTGTGTGTGTGTGTGTGTACACCGATGTTAAATCTAATGCTGGGAAATGACTAATAGTGCATATATATAATATTATATTGTTAAAAATTAAAGAGAACTACACAGCATTCACAATTATTGAAGAAAGCAAGTGCATCAAGCGGTAAACACATTTTCTTTTGGTTTTATTCACCCACAACTTTCAGACCTCAGTTTTCTGTATTTTTCATTACATTTTAGAAATGTAAGCTTCTTTGAACATACCACGAAGGAATAGCAGGCATTATTAACAAAGCTTTCATACCATACATTTTATTAAATGTTGACACGAAAAAAAAATTGTATTTTGTACAAATTAAAAAGAAAGATTTAATGATTTTAAAGAAGTTGATATTAAAATAACAATATTATCATCAGTTTATCATATGCAGAATATTTTATTCCATGTAAGCAGACTTACTCTACCTCTCTGTTTCTGTGTGTTAGTCAATTCATTCAAACACACACACACACACACACACACACACACACACACACACAGAGATCTAGTTTGGGGCCTCAGGCAGTGCATTATGGGATCGGCATTTCCCTCATTCTGCAGCGATGTGTGTGTGATGTGATGTGCTAGAAGGGTGTATACAGTATGAGTGTGTGTTTAGTGAGCTGAGAATATAGTTTGTGTGTGTGTGTGTGTGTGTGTGTGTGTGTGTGTGTGTGTGTGTGTGTGTGTGTGTGTGTGTGTGTGTGTGTGTGTGTGTGTGTGTGTGTGTGTGTGTGTGTGTGTGTGTGTGTGTGTGTGTGTGTGTGTGTGTGCGTGCGTGCGTGCGTGCGTGCGTGCGTGCGTGCGTGCGTGCGTGCGTGCGCGCACCTCCTGCCTCTCTTCATCTATCCACAGAACAATAGTCCAACTGAGACCTTGTTTGTGTGTGTGTTCTTCATAATAGTTTAAACAGTCTATTATCTTATAAAGTGTGTGTGTGTGTTTTGTGTGTCTCTGTGTTTTGAGGCAGCAGGAAGAGAAGGAGAGGAGATGTTTAGTTGATTCCTTTCTCTTCTCTTCATAACATGAAATGACAGATTTGTGTCATGCTGTGTGTGTGTGTGTGTGTGTGTGTGTGTGTGTGTGTGTGTGTGTGTGTGTGTGTGTGTGTGTGTGTGTGTGTGTGTGTGTGTGTGTGTGTGTGTGTGTGTGTGTGTGTGTGTGTGTGTGTGTGTTAGTACACCTGTGCTAAGTCAGTTCATCATCCCCTCTCCTCTTTAATCATGTTGTGCACCTGTTCTCTCTCTCTCAGCGGTTTCCCAACCTGTGGGTAGAGGCCCCTGTAGGTGTCACAGGATTCTCTCAGGTGTCCTCAGATAATTCAGATTGCAGCAAAATAAAAACTTGATTTCAGATACAGATTTATTTGATTTACTAAAACTTTTATCTATTTCTGATTTTGTGCATAAGACTGCGACTTTATGGCTTTAACTCAATAACTACTCATATTAAAATAATACATACCTTATTAAACAGTTGTCCAGAAGTTGCAAATTGATTTGTTGTAAAGGAATACTTTTCCGCAAAATAATATTATTTGTACATCAAAATCTCCTCCTGATTTTGCCTGAATTCTTGATTTGTTTTATGCTCACGGTCAACAAAGACTTCTGATGCATTGAAGTGCATGTGCGCTTTGCTTAACAACAGCAAAAAGAGTATTAGACAATAGATATTAAATTGATGTGTTAGTGAAGTCGTGATCATCAACCGGATAAATGAGGCTTGCATTATTCTGCAAGAGTTGGAAATATGTATTATAACATTTTGATGTTGTTAGACGTGGCTACCATTTACTTCAATTTATAAAAATTGTCTACATTTTTTGATTATTTATTCATCGTGGAGGCACCATTTTTTTTTTTTTCAAGGTCATATGGCATGGAAATATATACTGTATATGGTAATTGTAGAGTTGTAGTGTACATTTCTTTGTTAAAAGGGCACGAAAACAAGGATTGTTCCATTATGTATTGTTATATAACAGCTTAAACAAAAAGCAGTAAATGTTGTTTTTACAAAAAGTGGATCTATTTTGCCATATTGTGTCTGTTACTGTGTGTGCATGGTGCAAGGGCAAGTTAGCCATGAGGTGAAACATGCAAATGCAATGAGAGCTGCACACACACACACACACGCACGCACGCACGCACGCACACACACACACACACACACACACACACACACACACACACACACTCACACACACACTTATAGAAGAGAAAATAAATGGACCTAATGTGAAAGGGCAGCGTAAACAGAACTAAACTCAGGAGCATATTTCAACCAAAAGAAACGTGTATTGTAAGAGAGAGTGTGCGTGTTTGTGTGTGTGTGAGGGAGATAAGAGGCTGGTGGTGGGGGGGTCGGGCCAACAGAAAGAGAGAGAGGGAGTCAGAGAGCATCCTGACTATCACATCTCTTTAGGATCAAGCTTTGTTTCCAGGGTGTGTGTGTGTGTGTGTGTGTGTGTGTGTGTGTGTGTGTGTGTGTGTGTGTGTGTGTGTGTGTGTGTGTGTGTGTGTGTGTGTGTGTGTGTGTGTGTGTGCGCACGTGTGTGTTCTCCCTCTGTAACATGTCAGTTACTTTATTATTTCTTCTGCTCTTAATTGGGTTGAACATTTAACGTAGAATGAAAAAAAGAGTGTGTGCACATTTATTTTCTCCTTGTTTTTTCTCCTCATCCTTGTGTTCTTTCTGTTACACATCGCTGGTCTTTCATTCACTCTCTGATTTCTTTGTTTCACCTCATAACACACTCATTTACTCCCAGCCCTCTGTGGAAATAAATGTGGTGATAAACAGATGGTGAAAGTTTCCTGACCTGACCTTTACATGAACCTCATGTATATATAATGCAGATATTGTAGTAACTCACATACTCTATTACATATTATTATATTTCAAGGTGATTTATTTGTCGATATATAAGAACAATATTTAAAGTGGACCTATCATGCTATATTTGAATAATATAGTGTAGGACCATACCTATATAAGGCATATTTATACTTTTTTTTGTGCAAAATACCAAACAGATCATGCATTTTAGCCATGCCTCATTTTGCTAAATTTGACATTTTTTAGCTCTGTGTTTGTAAGGGCAGATTCTGTGAGAACAGCACCATCTACTGGCCTGGCATATGTACTACAGCGTCTCCAGCGCTTTCGAACGGCAATGTCCGTGGCTGTCTCCTCCTGATTGGTGGAGTTGGCCCAATAGCCGTAGCGCCACCGTCCTGACGTCAGGACAGTGTTCAAATCTGGATCAGTTTTGATCAGATCCGTTGCAGCCCCTTTTTTAGAGATTTGGGTATGGAGGAAAATAGAGAGGGTTGTGTTTTCTGACACTTGGTGAGTTCCCTGGAACACCGGGGACACATATTCATGTATAAAAGACGTACAAAAGTGCATTTTGCATGATAGGTCCCCTTTAACAATAGGTACACATCCGTTTATATCATTTATATATATAAAAAATATATAAATAATATATATATATATATAAAAGTTCCTCAGTATTTTATGGAGGTGTACTGTATGAAACTGTTTTCTAAAACGTCCATTATATATAAATGAATAATATGTTCACAGCTTTGTACAAAGTTATTTTAGTTCTAACCACTGTTGGGTACTTTTACACACTCAGGCGTCTTCACCACTAGTAATACATAATAGGCATTTCAAATACGTCGTATTTTGACTTGTAAATTATTCATGCGTGTGTTTTTTGGCGAGCTGGCTCAGCAACATCATTTTTTTTTATTGTTTGAAACAATATGTGTTTTCCAGTGAGTGACCTAGTTAGGAAGTTAAATAATGTACCACAGGAAGAGCTGCTGAATAACGTTAGTCAGCAAAGTGTGTGTATGTGTGTGTGTATATGTCTTCTTGATATTAACTATAATTTATTGACCATTTAAAATGTTACTTTAATTGCTATTTGCTGACACAACTGTCCAAAGCAAGTGGGAGCACACTAGTTAACAGACTTATGTTTGAATTAGACTAGAATACAAATATATATAATACAGAATAAAATAAAATTAGATTTCCTTACTTATGAATGCTGAAAATGGTATGAATGGTTACGTTTCTTTATACAGTATAGTATAAATAAGATAAACAAGAATATTGCTTAAAATGTGTACAGTGTAATACAGTTAAAATAATGATTGAGTGTTAAATAAAAGTACTGGGGAAAGAGTATATATTTTGTGAAATGTAGTTGAGTACAGGTATAAATAACACAAAATAAAAATACTTACAACAGTACAATACGTCAACATATTACTTAAGTGAAAAAGTAGAGTAAAGGTACTTTGTAACATTCCACCTCTGTATATACTGTAGCTGTGTTTCATCGGCAGAGAAACATAAATAACTTTCATCTTATTTCTGCAGTTCTTTGGCCTCTAATAGAAAATAATGCAAATATGTCAGTACTTGAGTAGATGTACTTTTCACCACTACACAGGTTGCACTCTCCCCCATCCTCCCCCATGTTATCTCCCCGTCTCCTCCATGGTGTGGTGTGTGTCATTTATTTACTCGCCACTGTAAATAGAAGCAGTTTTAATAGAGGTGTGTTTGGTTATGTCGTGATTAAATATCTACCCTGTGTGTAATGGCTTCATAAATCACAGGAAGTGTGTTTACGCTCTCATAAAGCCCGATCAGCTGCTGAAAGAGGGCACGGTCAAACACCAAGGTCAAAGGTTAGCTGAAGTGTTTACAGTGGCATCGTTAACGAAGACCACGGACACATTCACAGACATGAGACGCCGGGCACAGACACCTCCACTATAGACACAGGACACACAGAGTTTATAGATATTAGACATTTTTTGTCTGTTTATAAAAAGAATTGCATCTATGTAGAATATTTGAGTCTATATTTAGTCCTCTTTGGAGTCTTTCCATGTCTATTGCATCCAATTTACATTACTTTTGTGTGTGTCTTTGTTGTTGTGTTTGTCTGTGTGGTTATTTTCTGTGCCTTTGAAGACACTTCACATCTCTTTGTAGTTGTTTAGTGTATTTTTATGGTCATTTTGAGTTTTCCTATTGGCTTTGTGGTCATTTTACGTGACTTTTTAGTTGTTTTGAGTCCTTCGTTGTACCTTCGATGATACTTTGGAGCTCATTTTGAGCTTCAAACGTCACCTTCAATCACTCTATTTCCCTCAATCATAATATAAACGAAAGACAAGAAAAGATGATTAAATATGGGCTCTAAATACCAACGGAAATATACTTTAAACTATGCTTATATTTGTCCTAAAAATTATACGGATATGTTTATTGCTGCTTATTTCCTCAGACGGAACCCATACCTGTGTGTGTGCGTGTGCGTGTGCGTGTGCGTGTGCGTGTGCGTGTGTGTGTGTGCGCGTGTGTGTTTGCAGCTTGTAAAACAGACAGTGACCCACCTGAGTTGGTGACCTCTGACCCCTGCAGGGTAACAGATGTCCAGGTGTTGTCTGCAGAGACAGATGGTGGGGGGGGGGGGCAGCTGAGGCTCTGCTTTGATTTCTTCTGTCCGTCAGTTTGTGGTCGACATCAAAACATCTCACCTGCAACACTTAGATCACACACACTGTAGTTAGTAATGCAAACAAAATCTGAAAAAGATGTGTAATCCAGAGAAATTACTATATTTGAAACCTCCACAGTACAAAAGAAAACATTTCTTCATGAGATCGTGTTTTTCTTTTTAATGAAGACACAATGAAACAATTGCTCTTGAAACTAGCTTCAGAAGAGTTGATATTTATCGAAGATTTGAAGATAAGTTTTGTTTTTAAAATCTGCTTTTCAGTGTGCTTCATTCAGTGTCTCATGGATAAAGCACAGTACTTAAAGGTAGGGTAGGTAAGTTTGAGAAACCAGCTCGAGATCGCTAGAATTTGAAAATACACAACCGGAGAAAAATCTGCCACTTCCTTATAGAGCCCCTCCTCCAACACACACGAACGCGCACATGACCAATGAGGGCACGAGATAAGTTTGTGCACAGATGGAAGGCTGACAGGCAGGTAGGCCATCCAGTTATTTTAGCCAGGCCGGCTAAAATGATTGGTCGTGCTTTTTACAGTACTACGGCTTCCACAGATGACATTTTTTAATGGATTTTGGTCAAAGCACTTAAGATATTCATTGCTATCGGGATGTTAAGAGCATTCCATGGAATATAACAAAAAGTGTATCTCGAGCCGGTTTCTCAAACTTACCTACCCTACCTTTAAGTAAATATAACTTACATCACTGATTACATGTTATAGTCTAAAGTGGTGGGACAAGTACTGAGATATTTGACCTAGGCTAAAGTAATATTACCAGTGTAAAAATACCCTCTTTCATCGATTAGTCTGTTACAAAGATAAACAAAAACTTATTTCTGCGTTTGTTTGCAAAAAACACGAGACAAAGTTTGCCCTGGTTTGCAGAGAACTCACATTTTCTCGGCCAAGTGAAGACAAACAATGTTTCCCTTCAAGGATGAATGAGTGAAATGTCTAGAAATACAAAGCTTTATTCGTTTTAATCAGAGTTTTAAATGTGTGTTTGGGAGGAATATGACAGAGTTGGTGTCGATTCAAAGAATGATCGACCGCATTAAGACACATACACAGTGTGTGTGTGTGTGTGTGTGTGTGTGTGTGTGTGTGTGGTGTGTGTGTGTGTGTGTGTGTGTGTGTGTGTGTGTGTGTGTGTGTGTGTGTGTGTGTGTGTGTGTGTGTGTGTGTGTGTGTGTGTGTGTGTGTGTGTGTGTGTGTGTGTGTGTGTGTGTCATAATGCATTAAGTATTAATAGAAAACACACACAGGAATGATAAGTGGGTCCAGGGTTTGGTTTCAGTGTGTGTGATAGTAGAGATGACAGACATGACGCACACACACACACACACACTCAAACAAACGTTTGTAACTGTTTTTACTGTTGTTTATCATCCAATAGCCTATTTTTCTATTTTAAAGCCCTCTCAAGTAAAAATATTTTTAAATTAAAGTTCATTAGCTAACATCTGTGGCTAATGTTGTTAGCATTAATATTTGTATATCTGCTTTTGTCCTGTTTAAGTTTTGTGTCGTACATTTTTTTTGAAACCACCAAAAAATGGAGAAGATGATTATGCACCAGAATCCATTGACAGAATCAGTCATTTGACAGTATACTGTATATCCAGAGGGTTAGATGTAAGAATATATCGGCTCTAGATGCTCTTTTCTTGGCTTTTTGCATCTAACGTTATTTAACAAGCACTTATCTTGGCTTTGACGATGAACAATTTCTTGTCCTTCACCTCCCAAACAACAGACCTTATGAATAGAAATACATTTAAACCCCTCATTATGGACGTCTGGCACAAGGCTGCAAGTGTGTGTGCGCAAATCTTTTCACGTGTATGTGTGTGTCAGAGATTAGGGGTGTATTCATGTCTGTTTGGCTTCACCTTTACATGTGTGTGTGTGTGTCCAAGGCTGGCATTTGTCACGGTGGCCGTTCTCTGTTCCCAGACTCTGAATGTATTCATGAGTTAGCTGTTGACTCAGGTAGTTAGTTCACCTGTCCACACACACACACACACACACACACACACACACACACACACACACACACACCCACCCCTGCTGTGTCTTTTGTCCAGACATTTTACAAAATCTGCCAAATTTCCCTCCTCAGCCCTCAGCAAAAATTCTCTCCCTCCATCTTCCCTTCTCTTTTGTAAAGTTAAACTCCCATGATGCTTAGCAAACAGGGACCTTTGAAGTCAGCTGGGTGGTGCGGGGGGATTTCCTGACGTCTACTTTTGTGCAGATATCAAAATGAAAGTGAACAGACGGCAGTTTTCCCAGCCAGGTGAAGCCTCTCTGTTTCCTGCGCCAGGTTCCTGTTTACGTAACGTTCAATCTGACTCATTCAGCTGCAGCAGGATCTGCTGAACAGCACACAGCACACACTGTATTGTGCATGCATCTAAAGTCTTATATATGAAACCTCACTTTATTAAAGCCACATTTGTCCCAAAAAAGGGGCTTGAATACAATACGTTTGAGTCATGTCCTGCACTAAAATACAAATTTAAAATGGGCATTTCAACCAGAGCCATGATTTTATATTTCTGGTTCCTAAACTGAATGAAACCTTGGCCAAAGCTGGCTCAGATGAGCAAGTGGCAATATTGATTATTTCTGTTGTTTTCCTTTTCAGAAAGATGTAATCAGCCAGTCCGAGGGCAGCACAGTGGACCTGAGGAAGCCCGGCGACGAAGAGGACGAATACTCTGAGATGGCTGAGGAAGCCATGGAGCCCGAGAACTGCTTCCCCGACTGTAAGTACTTTATACTGCAACCCCACTACATATCAGAAGCAAATACTGTACTTTTACTACATTTATTAAACACTTATAATTACTTTTCACATGAAAGTATCTTCAATTGGCTTAAAATGCCTTAACTAAAACATTAAAATGATATGAAGTGTATTTGTTGGAGATAGAAACTGGATAATAATATTCTGTATTACTCTGAAAACAGCCATTCTGCAAACTAAGTACTTTTACTTTGATACTTAGGGGTACAGTTTGCAAATTAAATATTTCAACTTTATATTAACATTTTGAATTCAGGACTTTAACTTAAAGGTCCCATGTCATGGCCATTTCTACTGATCATAATTCCATTGTTGAGGTATACTAAAATAGATTCATATTGTGCAATTTTCCAAACTCACATTGGTTTCTCATACAGCATCTCTGTACAGTATGTGTATTCACTCTCTGTCCTAAACGGCTTGTTGGAGCTCCTACCCCCCGCTCCCTATGAGCCCAGTGGCCGTCTGCGAGACAGCGAAACCCAGCACGAAACCAGCCCGAACACACACACACACCCGCAGCCTGGCTGGGAGTTTGTGTGTGTGCTCACACACCGACTCACAGCCTCACCGACTCACAGCCTCGCCGCGTCCCGCCGTTTCAGGGAGGAGAAATTGGCGAAGCTGCAGCTGAGAAAAGATTGAGTGTGTGTGTGTGAAGAAGTCCGTGGATTGGTCCATTTGGACCAATCCACGGACTTAACGTAAAGGCTCCGCGGATGTAACATAACGGCTCCACGGATTGGTCCATTTGGACCAATGGGTCCATTTGGGTATGGGCACGTCACTGTACCCAGGAAGAAAACAATGGAAAAAGAGAAATATCCAACGTGGCGTTCTGGGGCAGCATAGACAGGTATTTTCTGTGTTAGAGTTTTACTCGCTACAGGGTGTACTTTGAGGGTTTGTGACTTTGCAGACCGTTCACATGCAGAAAAACCTTCATAACACACAAGGGGACGGGTAATAACCAGAAAAGCATGACATGGGACCTTTAACTTGCAATGGATTTTCAGAATATAAAACAAACACACACACACACACACACACACACACACACACACACACACACTCACAGCAGCTGAGGTCGCACACAATTTCCACTGTACTTTTGGAATATACAGCTGAGTGTCATCTGCATAGAAACCGATATAAATGCTCTTTTGTTCCAGCAGTTCTTTTTCCACCAGTATAAGAGCATGCCTCATATGGTATCTCATGTCTTTAGGTATTTATTTAATTAAGGAGGATTTTATTGGAAGGTTTCACCCAATATTCCACCAGTGTTCCCCGAGCCTTTTCTTTATCTACATATCTGTTTGTTATCTACATCTGTGCTAAACTGGGTCAAAGATGAGTATTCGTTCTGCAGGAGGCAAACGGGCTGAGTCAGGACAGAAAAAATAAATGTGTTTTTCACCTGGTTAGAGAGAACAGGATCATAAATCTCATTATGAGAGTATTGGGGCAACAGATAGAAAAGACCAATCTGTCATCTTGCTCACAATGCAATTCTGCAGATAATTATCCCAGCTTTATGATCCTAGGTCATTTTTAACATCGTTTTTTACCATGCATATAAACACCAGAGCTGTGCATGAAACAAAGATGCATCTAGAAGGAGAGAAAGAACCAAGTGTAATGATTTTAAAGGAGTTTTGCTTGGTGATATTGCAGTAATAATTGCAATATCAAGTGTCAGGGTTTGAATACCCTACGTTCAATTTTCCGATTGTTACATAACTTTATTATCCTCCAAAAAAAGGTAAACTCTAAAATAAAAGACAGAGAAAGGGATATGTAAATAACAGTTGTTAAAATACAAGAATAAACATATATTATCTCAGCAAACACTGAAATAGTCTGGTCTACAAGACAATGAAAAATAAAAGTTGCAACATTTTGATGTGTTTAAGTCCACTCACATCTCAGAGAAGCCAAATCGACTCATACGTGGTTTTTTCAGCAGGTCAATTTTAAATTATATTTATTTAATCGGTAATTTAGAAGTTTTAAAACTGTGAGCCACATGATGTTTCCACAAAAACAGGTTAATTTGCCCCAAAACGTTCATAATGAGATGTATTAACCTGTACTGTATCTCAAAAATACAATGCAAAAACACCTCTTCCTGATTCAGCCACTTTTACAGAGATTCCTCTTCATTTTGTCTACGATACACAAACATAAGAGCAGTGATGAGAGAGTGAAAGCTCCAGATCAGAGTTCAATGAAGAATTTAGTTTAAACCATTTGACTTTCAGAGGTAACTTGAGGTGAAAATGCTCCGACAGAATTAGGCCAGCCAGCTGGAAAACCCTCTCCGAAGAACAGAAACAACAAAGAAACATCCAAGCACCTGCAGAGAATACATTAGTCTGAAGGAGAACATACTATTTGTGCAGATGACAAACGACTGGATGTTTGGGTACAAATACACACATTTCATTAGGTTCATATCAATTTAAACTACACAGATATTTTAACCTCATTCAACCTGGATCTTATATCTTTCTTTACATTTCTTATATCTCTCTTTGTTTAATAGTAAGAATTATTATACATTTAATTTAGTTTGCGCTTTTCTACGCACTCATCGACTTGTCTCTATATCTGTCTTTACATTACATTCTCTTGTATTCTTTTTACATCTTATATCTCTCTTTAGATCTCTAATGACTTTTCTTTCTTATACCTCTTATGTCTTAAATCTATAACTGCATGTCTTTCTTTATATCACTTGTATCTCTTATTACTTATTTGGCAAAAAATGAGGTACTCATTCAGTTTTTGTTGTTTGACACAGAGCTAATTTTCTGCAATAATCCAAATCCAATGGAAAAATCCCATTGGCTTTCTGTTGAGGGAACAAGGGAGATGCTACCTTTAGGGTCCACGACAGAAATATGTAATTTCTGCACCACTCCAGCTGTTTGAACGTGAGATGAAAGAGTTGTATGACAGGAGAGAGGAACAAAATGCGCATTTTTCTTGCGTGTTCCTCGACTACTCACAGGGTCATTGTATCTGCAGTATATTGTATGAAACTCATCCTGTCTCCTGTGGATGGAGGCTCTGCCAAACGGCAGATGTTGAATTAGCTTTGATTCATTTAGAAGATGGATGCGTCCATCACATTGTCCCCACACGCCGCCTGATTCTTCCTGATTCAGCAGAGTCCTTCACAGCAGGCGGCGTCTGTCACCAGCTGGACTCGGAGCAGGAGAGGCTGAAACATGGAATCAAATCTGCAGAAACATGGAATAGTCTGCACATTTATCAGCATGGCTGTGTTAGTGGGGGAGATACAGGACCTGGATGGGAGGAAAGAAAGCAACATAAATGATATCAAACAATAAGATACAGTTATTTATAGTAAGTAATTAAAGGAGTTGAAAGTTAGGGAGAAAAGTCAAAGTGTACACTGCAAAATATAAGGAGGAGAAGAAGCAAGACAATGTGAAAGATGAAAACAGAGAAGAAGAGGATAAAGCAGAAAAAACTAAAGGAACGTTGATATGAAGAGAGGTAAAAATAAGAGATACAAGTGTATCATTGCAAGGAATAAAAAGTGTCAAGAACAACAATTGTATAAAAAAGTAAAATAATGAGAAAAAAAAGGTAAAGGGAATAAAATGCAGAACAGTCTGTAATTTAAACTCATCTTCTTTAAAATAAAACCCTGAAAAAGAGGAGACAGGAAGTGAGACCAAACACACCCTACACACACACACAGCTGCATGGCTCCCCTCCTGACTCCCATCTCACTGGACCGGTAACACCAGTTTGCTGACACAGCACTGTGTTACAGAATGTGTGTGTGTGTGTGTGTGTGTGTGTGTGTGTGTGTGTGTGTGTGTGTGTGTGTGTGTGTGTGTGTGTGTGTGTGTGTGTGTGTGTGTGTGTGTGTGTGTGTGTGTGTGTGTGTGTGTGTGTGTGTGTGTGTGTGTGTGTGTGTGTGTGTGTGTGTGTGTGTGTGTGTGTGTGTGTGTGTGTGTGTGTGTGTGTGTGTCTGCAGGGACAAAGTGACCATCTGGAAGTTGTGGTGGCGTCTGTTGAGATCTCCATATTAGGTTGAATACTTAAAACGAAAGTTAATTATAATCAAATATAATCAATTATATTCTTGTATAACCCACAATGAAAATGCTTCATATGTTATGGTTTTCTTTATTTACAGTATAAACAAAACACAAGTAGTTTGTTAAATTGAGTGTGTAAGGGCTATTATGGTTTATGGGTGTCACTGATAAGAGAGGAGAGACAGTTTCTTCCCTCTTCCCTCACAGCAGTACACAGGGAGGGGGGCTCCTGACTTAAGGAGAAATAGACTGAGGCCCCAAAAAGGTGTTTGTGCCATAGCCGAGAATAATATTTTAGTTCAGCACACTAGAGGTCATGACCTTTTTACACAAACATGGGAAGGTGTGTCTTATGCCATAGCCATATAATATGTCTGGTCAAGTCCAGTCCTGTACATCAGAGGCCATGCCCAGTTTCCACAAATATGGGTATGGGGAGGTGTCTTTAGGTTTTTCTGTCCTGTTTTAGCATAAAGACACTGGCAGAGAAGGAGCAAACGAGAGAGAGGGGGGGGGGGGGGTTCCCCTGGTATACTCTCTCCCTGGAGCTGGGTTTTTGCTCTCGGTAAGGTTCTCTCAAACTTGGTAAATATCTCTCGAATTTCTTTGTTGAATGCGGAGTGAATTTCTTTGTGAGAATTGTGGAATGAATTGATGTTTGTTGAAAGTTAGTACCCCGCCACCTGTGAGGAAAGGTCCTCCGAATTCATACATTCTACAATGTAGGGTAATACATGTAAAACTGTGAATTAAGGTTGCATATTAGAACATGACCACAACATGATAGGTTTTGTAGGATTGTCATGTTGTAAAGAGAGAAGGTAGAAACCCAGTATAAGTGTTCCCACTGATCCCACCTTTTGGATTGGGACAACTT